TTCTGTTTTTTCTGAATAATATTATCGATAACTTGTTTTGAATACCCGTTTGAAATCGCGATTTGATATAATATTTTAAGTTCTTTGACATAATTATCTGTGGAAAGTGGGACTGACATTAAGCGATGGACATAGCTGCGGAAGGCTGCTAGTTTGTGTTGTGATGGGTGACAAGAAGAAGCGGGAATTGTTGTGTCGGTATGAGTGGGTTTACGGTAAATTTGGAAATCGAGTTTGTTATTAACTTTAACCTAACATTTAATGTCATGGATTTCCGCAAAGTAACGCCTGATTCTATAAATTATAATAAATTTAATATTCAAAGTGACCAAAAGAACTAGATTCTGCGTGAATTTAATTGACAAAGTTTAATTGATCGAGTTCAAAGTTACTTTCTGTTTTATGGCGAAGCCATTAAGTGTTATTTTCTTCCAAATGCCTTTGCAGACAAACTTGCAGGGTTCTGATCTCCTTAAGTCTGAAATGTCTGTACTTACTTAGAAATCAGGGACTAACCTCTAGTCTGGTTCAGTTTTTCTTCTCATAGTAAATCATCAGTTAAAAATATGGAAGTCATTTACAGATTAAATTTGTTTCTACCTACAGACATTTTTTGAGGGATGATATCATCAAATGACTCCTCTTGTCCTCCGTGGCGCGAGAGGGAGTTTCAGACTCTTGCGGCTTTATAACAAAACAATGCTTTTCTTTAGTCTAGGTCTGGCCCATTGTGCCAGGATGGCAAACGAGCAGACGGATTACCTGATGGTAAGCAATCAGCACCGCCCATGGATACCCCCAGTAGAGGAGTTACGAGTCTGTTGCCGATCTTCTAAGATTAGAGATTTGGAGATTTAGGGATCGGGGGAGGGGAAGGATTGGGCCTCGGGTAACCTCACTCACATGGCAAAACACAATGCTGTGGTCGCAAAATCACCCCATTCCACCTGCCGCCTCCAGACCGGGGCCAGACAGACAGGCAGACTTAATTTTGTTTTTTCGTAACTATACATTGAACCAATTGAAAGGTATTTAAATTTCTGTTCTTAAAGTATCAGTGCTAGTTCAGAGAAGTTCTTAGTATAGTATGTTATCCCTATTTTATTATCTCAACTAGGGTAAGTCCATACACTTTTTCCGTTTTCTGTGCCCGCATGCATGCGGTTTTGCAATGCTAATGTATCTCGATTAAGGTGAGCACTAATTTTGTGTAGAAAGCTTGCATTTTATCGCTTGTCGGGCGGTAACAATCCTTGTTTGTTTTAGCACGTATTTGTAACAAGGATTGTGTTTGTAGTCTATCTTATAAATTGTAAAGGTAGACAGTATGAGACCGTTCATGTACAAGGTCAATTAACTTTCGTATGATTTAGACGCGGATCCACGCATGGCACAATGTTTTTAATATTCTGAAGGTCATTCAAAGGGTAGATATTTCTTATCCCTTAATATTGAATGGTACCAAAAAGCTCTTGTCTGTCTGTTTGAAGTGTTATGCATGTTATCAAGCAGTATTTCAAGTGAGGGAACCACGCTCCAGCATGTATCGGATCACTGAAGAAACGCCAAGAGAGAGAAAATGACGAAAAACGAAGAACCACCAATGAGTTGGGTTTCTTCGTGTGACCCCAAAGTGCCCAATTATCAAAGGTTCAAACCCCCAAAATGCCGTCAACACACTCAAAATTCCTCTATCGCAGTAGTATTGCAGGCGATCATGAGTGGCACTGATAGCTTACCATCAGTTGATGTTTTCCCCTTACAAAAAAAAAAAACCTACCAGTCCTATTTCTCCATCGCCCAAAATTAGACTGGTAGAGAACGCCTAAAGCGTTAAGTACGCCATTGTAGGTACATTGTGCAAGAAGTATAATAGTAAATAAATGAAATATCATTTAATGATTTTTCTTCTCAAAAAAAACCTCAAAAGTCTAGTGGATCTTCTGCATGTATTCTGCACATTGGCATAACGATCAGTATGCAAACTATGTTAATAACCTACCCATCTATGTTACATTGTTTATCATTTTAATTGTTCTTTATCAGTGACTCACGTGGGAATTCGTTACACAATATAACACGATCGCTTGTATAATCTCATCCGTCCTGTAATTCAAGGCTTTGTTTTAATGTTGAATTAATAATTAACCTCGGGTAACCTTTTGGATCCCTTTTTCGTCCGACATCGCCTGTTCGGATGGCATTCTGCTGTAGTATTCTGACCACAACATTAATTAAACTTTGTGAGCCTCCACCGATATTTAGTTTAAGAAATATTAATTAACCTACGCTGTAGGTACAGTGTGGGTTGGACGTCACCGTCGAGGTGTTTTGGGGAATTTGATTTTAAATTTTCAGTATTTTGGAGTTCAAAATTGACGATGTATGCTGCTCAATGCTTCTCACACAAATGCGAGATCTTGAACTTGTTGAAAAGTGCAAATTAATTCTTAACATGTTCGGCCCAGAGCAGGAGAAGGAATGGGGGTTTCTTAGCCAGTAAGAGTGACACTTCTTCCCGCCCAAACGTAGGTGGGAGAAGACACTGGATACTTTCCCTCTCACAAAAAAACATGTCATACATTATCTAGATCATAATGTTGGATTTTTGAAATATTTCATCTTAAATAAAACACTCATCAATCAAAATTATTTTATTAGACTACATAAATGTTTCTATTTCGATTTAGATAAACTAAAACGATACAAAAATAAATTTAGTTACACATTACAATTAATGTAAACGCCTGTCTAAGAAATCATAGCAACAAATCTTCAACAATCACGTTGCTATTAATGTTTTACCTGCCTAACGTGTAACGAAGCTTTCTTTTTTCTACTAAGCTTTTTCAAAGTATTGATTTTACTTCGTACTGTGACTATATTAGTACGATGTCTGGTTTCTTGATATTGAACAATGACCTTTGTTAAAGTAAATTATCTATTTAATGTAGCATATATTTATTTTATGGGATTTTCTTTCTTACAGTAAAATAGGTACCCGCCCCGGCTTCGTGATGCAATGCTGATACTAAATTACTCTACTCTTTAAAGGATGTTATTATACATACAAATCTTCCTCTTCAATCACTCTATCTTATAAAAAAACAGCATCAAAATCCGTTGCGTAGTTTTAAAGATTTAAGCATACATAGGGATTACGGAGGAAGCGACTTTGTTTTATACTATGTAGTGATCTACACGTCCAGCTGTCCATCTCTCGAGCCAATGGTGATGGTGATGATAATAAATATGTAACAATCTGTATGAATTTGTGTCAATTATCTTATCTTTATATCAGCCACAAGGGAACCCTGCCGAACATAGGGCTCCCTCACAATTACCGAAGGAATCGGCCCAGACCGTCAACATGCCTGAAGGTATCAGTTGCCACACACTAATTAAATAGATAATGCTTCTAAGAATGTTAGATCACGTAAAAATAATATTTATTTTAGCACCACAAGGGCGAAGAAAATAAATTGATTCTCGGGTGCTCGAGTATCCAGGGAAAATTCCATTCCCCAATGGATACTTATTATAAGTGAATTATGACAGATTGAACTACTTAAATGTTCTGAAGATTTTAATTAAGTTTATTCTCAGATGAAATACGTTTATTTTTCACTCGTTGTAAAAAGGTGTATTAATATTTGCGATGTTTTAAAATCGATTTCGTTATACTCAAAATTACTAATTTCATTTCATTTGGAGCCCTTCGAATGCATGATAAACAATGATCCTTGTGTCTGAGAAATTCTTCAAATGTAATTGAAGCCCTCCAACGAGGAAAGTAACAGATAATTTTTAAAAAGGAATAAAGCTGCTTTGCAAGTCACAATGAACGAAAGAAGTCTGAAGAAAATTTTTATTACAAAAGAAATAATATGGATGAATGGCTCCCAAAGTTGAAGCCGAAGACGTTGGGTGACTTGTTGAAAGTTTGATTTGATAATACGACAGATTACATTCATGAGCGGGTCTAGTCTAGACCGAAGTTGAGCGTACATTAACATTGCAAGTTTGAGGGTCATAATTCTTGGTTCAGGACCCCTCGGCGAACAGTTTCACAATCTGTCAAGTATTCGCAGGAATAAGTTGTAAACGAATGCTTTATAGCCAACGTGACCTTTGATAACTATGAACGTCGCAGCAAAAGGTTAGCGGAGTTCAAAATTAGATTTCGGGAAGTTTGTTTTCTTTGAATTTGTGCGTTGTTTAAGTTTCTCAACGGCCGCAGTATCGAGCTGTTTTGTAATATTGTCTTTTGTATTGTAGGTGTAAGTGAGAAAGTGAGGTTATGGAAAATGTTCATTATTTATCATAGAGGATGGTTTTGGGTACGCAGTCTTGGGAAAACCGTTATTCATTTGAACCTCATTTTGGTGTGAATCTGAATTTGGCCTTATCTTTGGCTGTCGAATCGAATGCATGGAAAAATACTTTTCTTTTCATTGCCTTAGGGTCTTTTCTGATTTGAATTGTAATATTGTACGCGGAGTCGATGAAGATATATAATGGGACGCCAATTTTGTTTGACTGTAGAGAGATGTTCATATCTTTATGAGCATTAAGCATAAATAGTTTTTAGAACTATAAATTACTTACTTGTCAAAAGAAGATGTACAGAAAAGTAATGCGAAAAGTTCCATAATTCGTATCCTCTGCGCCTCATTTACCCGTTTCGATTCTTGAAAATCTTGTTCTTCCCCCAAAGAATTCCACAAAAGCAGTTACGCGACCAAATTGGAAGATATATGGCTAGCTTTATAGCTTTAGTAAAGGAACGTCTCCTAAAACTTTTGCGATTACCTCGTAACTTATGTGATTAGGCACGTATAGCCGTCAAACTGTCCAAACTGAACATTCTTGTGGATTATCTTATCAATCCGTCATTTGTGTCATATCTCACTTCGTGTGTTATCGATTTATCAGCATACATTGCTGCACAATTATAAACCTTATCATCCTAGATTCAATATGTAATATCATTTGAACTGCAAAGCTTTTGGATCAACTAAACATTACCAAGGTGCGTTGGCATCGTTAGTGTCAGTGGTGTCATATTGTGAATTCCTGTCGTGTGGGTACAAATTAAAATGGATTTAGACGATATTGAAATCAACGAAAAGTAAGTTAGTTGTCTCTTTTTCGAAGGCGAAAGTCGAGTTTATTGCGAGTCCTTTGTGATGTGTGTGTATTGTGAGAAATTATGGCGCGCGTTGACGTGAATCGAATGAGGTATCGATATCTTCATTATTGTTGTACAAAGGGGACTTATATCTTTTGCTTTCTACTTGAGACGGTTCTCAACACTTTGTAGAATCGATTTTCTCAGGAATATTACTTAGACACGATGCTCAAGAGGTTCTTCAAAATATGTATTCAGACAGATTTCATTCATATGTAACACAATATCTGCGGTGTGTACTCGTTTTAGTAAACAACATGACCTCAACACCTGCACGACAATAATGCGACAATGACCTCAATTTTGTGGAACGAACACGTTTTGGCGAACGGCAAATTAACCAATATGTCATGTCTTTTTTTGGCTCTACTGCACAGATTGTTACTGTTTTTAAATCTTACGGTCGATTGCTCAGATTCTCGGTTACCGGATCTGTTAAATTGGTCAGGACATTCGACACTTACTTGTCTATCCATACATTCATTCGCAATGTTAAAATCTTTTAGAAAAAATTGCTTAAACCGCCCTTAAATCGTTACTCGACTCACCACAGACGGGGCCCTGTACCGTTCCCCGTTCTGTTACCCGGGGTTGCGGAGCAAGCTTATTCGTTACGTCAATTTTCAAAATTATCACGAACAGAAAATGTTTATACTATTAGAAGATTGTGTTATTGTTATGGTATCCGTCCTTTCATCGACGACGATTCCTTCGATCGTTCCCTATTAATAGTATTATCGGTCCATTCAAGGAATTTGGATTATTGACCAATTAAGGACAATACACCCTTCATTACATCCGGACTTACCGCTAATCTATCATAATCTGCTACGATTCGGGTCAGTAAACACCTGTATATTTGTTTTCTTTCAGCGATACAAGTCAGGATTGTTATTCTAAGCTACCCCAAGTATTGAGAATCAACACCAGACCATGCTTTGACCCAGTTGATAAACTGGGTTGGGTATTTAGATGCAGTTTATTTAGGGCACAGGGATTAAACAAATTCTACATTCAACCTGATTAAGTGTCTATGCTTATTGGATATAATGACTATTTTCGGTTATAGTCAATGCTGATTGTGACGTTTAGAAATAATAGCGTAGGCGATTTATCAGTTCATTGGATACCATATAGTGTCATACATAAAATAGACACCCCTTTTTAATATCTTTCAAAAAGCCCTTGTTCGGATATTCATTAAATAAGCGTATTTTTCTTCAGGAGTCATAATAAATGTCTGAATCGTAGTAGTAATGCGGTGGGAGTTTACAGTTATTATTAAGTTTTGGTTTTTTTGTGGAATTTATCATTATAAGACTTCACATACCCGGTACATTATTGCGCTTGATCCACAACTCCGGCTGTGTATCAGCCCTGTTGGGCCCTCTCTGTGGTAGGCTATTATAATTGGCTCTTTGAGGCTCGCTCGGGAACTTACACGCTGTATGCTCGGGTCTGGTTCTGATCGGGCAGCGAGCAAACCTCACTCGCCGTTCGCAGACTCGCGAGTTATTACCAGTATTCTTTGATGTTCTTCATCCAATTATTGAAGAAAACCTTAAAAACTATAGTGTCCCTGATCTGCTTTGCCTTCTGTATTCAGAAAATGCCCGCGTTTACAAAAATGTTAACTCGGTCGTGTTCTTGTTTTACTAGCGTGCTCTGTTTCGCTTTATTAAGAATAAACAGATTTATTTGCGAAAGCCATTATTTGTGTTGTTGATATTAACTGGAGGTACTTACTCGGGTACAAAGCTCAGCCCTCCAGAATGTTTACAATATAAACATGGAATGTTATACTTTGGTCGACTTCCACTGCCGACTGGTTTGGTCGAGTCCTTATGAGTAAGGTTGCTGAGCAAGAAGAGGTTATGAGAATAATTTTCAATTAATTACTGAATCGTAAAAGATGACGGTTTCGATTGACGATGTTTTTCTGGAACTCCTAAGACACAGGGTATCCTAGTTTAGGAGGGAGGGTTTAATAAATTTGTATACCTTTCATAAATTGTAAATTAGATATTAAGCAAAAAATTGTAAGGTCTTTGGTTCAATAAAGATATTATTATAACTACTTCCCTCATATTGGTTCCAATGTGGAGTCGTTAGGAGGCGAAAAGTAAAAAAAAAGCGATTTTTTGAACTTTAAGCACCAAACCCAAGATTACGCCTGTCTCCCAGGGTGCGGCGAGATGAAGTGAAGACTCTTACTGAGTAAAACCCCCCGTTCCTGCTCTAGGCCGAGGCCGCTGTGCCGAATTGCGTTTACCCCGCAACCCCGGCTAAGAGAACCCTAAGTTCATGTTTTGTTTTGCAAGGGAGGCTGAAATAGCGCAAAGCAATAGGCACTCTAATAAATAAAAGTAATTATGTAAATGCTGGATAGCATACTCGTATATTGCCTTAAATTGACTGCACGGTTGGCGGGGTGGCTGCCGCGCAACGTGTCGCAGGTTCGATTCCCGCACGGAACAACTATTTGTGTGATCCACAGATTGTTGTTCCGGGTCTGGGTGTGATGTGCATGTGAAATAGTATGTTTGTAAACGCACCCACGACACAGGAGAAAATCATAGTGTGGGGCAACATTAAAAAAAATATATATATGAGCGTTCCTGTTCGTAACGCAGTTTATACAATTTCGCAATCCTTAAACTGTTTGTTTTCTCGACTTGGCGAAGATTTATTTATAGTTTTCGAACATACTCGTCGACGAGAGACGTTTCTCTTCAGCGGCAGGTGGGGCTGACCGTTTATTTTTGCCCGAGACCGCCTCTGAGCGTTTGAGGGATAATTATGAACACGATAATTGTTGGCGATGAGTTTCATGTTGTATACAACCATAATTCATGCGAGTATACTTTGAAGCACGCTTCCTACACTTCAGTTAAGTACTTGCACCTATTTTAAACCGTCGGGTATAAAGGCTGAGATATGCTCTCAAACAATTTAAACGTGGTACCGAATTTTCTCCTTTATCACGTGACAACCAAATCTTAGGTCAGCAGTATGTGGATCCTAATGATATTATCTTGTGGCCATGTAACTTGTTGTTGAGCCTTCCTTTAATAATTGACTTACTTCTTATTGGAAAATAAGAAGTAAGTCAAGTTTAAGCTGACTGACTGACACTGACAGTTAAGCTATGGGTTCTGGAGTCAATCTCCACTTCGATGAAAGGAATTTTGCTTTCATTCATGTCATTTCAATTTCTTTCAGAATTCCTACAAAGTACCTGTAATAAATACAGCAATAGTATAGTAATATTTAGTTTCTTTCCCTGTCGCCGCAGTTTCACCCGGAATATTATCAACTTTTCACTAATTTACAGCAGAGGTATCATTTTTTGGTTAACACTGGAACAGTTTTTTTTTTCTGATATTCGAGCGGACATAACTCCTGATGGTAGTAAGCAATCGACGCGCGCTCTGAGGGTACACGCAACAGGCATCATGGAATTGCAAGCGCATTACGGGCCTTTTGGCCTTTTCGTATTGGCCAACCTAACTCACACAGTGAACCACAACGCTAAAGTGTTGTGGTTTTCTGTGAGGCTGTTGTATCTCAACGGTTGGCAGAACATTTGGACTTTCGCAGTGATTTCTGAATCTCATTCTTGTCTTTTTTGTTGGCAGTGAGCAGCCGATATTCACGTGCAAGGCCCACGTGTTCCATATAGACCCGAAGACCAAGCGATCATGGATGTCGGCCAGTTCTGCAGCCGTCTCCGTTTCCTTCTTCTACGATTCCTCGAGAAATCTCTACCGCATCATCAGCGTTGAAGGAACTAAGGTAGGTGGATAGATATGAGAAACGTTTTGTAGCTGCAGGAAATTGTGGAATGTTGAAAGTAAGTACAAAAGTGCGAAAATTAATGTTAATACTGAAAAAAATATCTGTAAATTTCGATAACTTTTTATGTATTTTCCATATACCTAGTAGATCAAGATTATCAAATGATTGCTGTTGAAATAAAACAAATATAAGCTAAGTTCTCAGGTACCAGAATCACCCTGTGTTCCAAAAAAAAATATTATGTGTACGTTTATAAACAGTCGTTCGATCTTTATTTCAAGCAAATCATACAGTTTTTAATAGAAATGTCTTCCTTGTTTTCACGGCATCAATGAAACTACTTAATCAAGGTTTTCTCAGTGACAATCAAAATTACGTAGGGCTTATCATTGTTGAACACGGCTCCCAAAGGACGGCTTAATTCGATTAATTTCAAAACAATGACCCATAAAGTTGGGATTAAATCGCACTATGAATAGTATTTATGCGAACGTTAATATATTTGTTTTAAACCCAAAATGTAATGTTCATTTAATTAAACAATACATGCTAACGTTCTAAATCGTCCGGAAAGTCTGAATTCTAAAGTTGCTCATCATAGGTACAAAAATGTCAGCCGTGCAAATATAGGTCATATAGCCAATAGATCACCACAGAGGCCAATGGGGCTCAAAAGAACTGATGTTCAGTCGGGATTGCGGATGTTAGTTGCGTTAATGTACCGAAGCATGGCCTGAACGTACGGCGCGTAGCGTTCGCGCCTCTTGAGAATCAATAGACCACCACAGACGGGGTCCTATAGGGCTGATGTTCAGCCGGCTTGCGCTAATGTACCGTGGCATGGCCTGAGCGTTCCGCGCGCGCCTCAAGGAACCAATAGACCACCACAGACGGGGCCTTATAGGGCTGATGTTCAGCAGTTGTTGCGGGTTAAGCGTGATGAGTCATCGCGGCCTCGGCCCAGAGCAGGAGAAAGAACGGGGGCGTTTTTAGTCAGTAAGAGTCTGACACTCTTTCTCGCCTTACCCTGGCAGAAGCCATTTGATGATTTTCTCCTGATAAAAAAAATCGCCTGAAGCAGGAAAACTAACTGCGTTTGGGTTGGGGTTGGGGGCTTTTAGCCAGTAAGAATCGGATATTCCCTATCGCTCACGGCGAGAGAAGTCATTTGACAATTAACCTCTCCCCCTCTAAAAAAGGCTTAACAGTAGATCAGTTAGTGGGGAAGGTAAATCTTTTTTGTGATTTTATAGATATCATCTCTCGCTAAAGAGTAATAATGCGCGCACTAGGATAAAAACAGAACATATCTTTGAGATGTTAAAAGGATACGAAGGACTATGCCGATGCCGTTAAGTATACTTACATATATGTATAATTAATATTTAACGCAAATAAAACTAGAATTAACAAAAATAGTCTTGTAAAGGCTCGTTCCGAACCCAACGAAGCAAGCGCGCGCGTGCAAGGGTAAGCTTGGAAATAAATGTTGCAAAACGATGAGTTTAAATTAGAGTATTGTCTGGCATGTAATTGGCTCTCAGTATTCTGGGGCGGCTAAGCAAATATTCCGTTTTCAAAGTACCCGCATTCTGGGTGTGCGGATTTAACCGAAATCGTGAACGACTGTTTACAACTACCCTCCCGGTGTATACTCCTTCCCTTATAATAAAGGTTTATGCTAGTTTTCATGTAGTTTGTATTTAAATTAAAGGAAATGTAGTCGGAATGAGCTCGTTTCTTTTTGGATAGTGCCATTTAGTATTCTAAGAAAGGGTGGGTTGCTAATATCTACATAATTGGCTCAGGAATTGATCGAAATACCTAGTAGTGTTTATGGTTTAGTTGGCTTTTCTTTATTTGACTATTGTGTTGATGGATATTACAACGAAAAACAACCCTTTTTTTGTCATCAAATGACCAGGGTAAGCCTGGGCGGGAGAGAGTGTCAGACTCTTACTGACTCCTGCTCTGGGCCGAGTCGAGCTCGAGGCCAAGACTTGCGCTTTGACGAAAAACAATCCTCTCCTACATAGTTATTTAACGCTTCATTGATTGGACAACGGTGTCGGAGTATTTTGTACTTCGTAAATCTTAAGTTTGATATGATGCCCGATATTTGACTGAATTAACGCGCAACAAATTGGGTCCGTGGTTTAGGTCCCCTGTGGCCGACGCACCTGTGGCGGACGCCCCCGATACGATAAATCCCGATTTCTTCTTTATTGTACTTTCTCAGTTAATACAGTAACCGACAAAAGTGTTTCTCTCTATTAATAAAGTATTTTTCGTTGCTTAAAAAAGTTATATAATAATATCTAATAGCAGAGAAAACAGATCGCCACTTAAATTTATTTATTTTTATCTTAAAAAGCGGCTATAGTCTGACCTTCAATTTTATTTTATTCGTGTTTGTATATTATACTGACGCAATTCATCGTTTTGATCATCATCATTATTATCATCAGCCTATAAGTGCCCACTGCTGAGCAAAGGCCTCTCTCTTCTCATACGGAGAAGGTTAGAGCATTAATCACCACGCTTGATCAATGCGGATTGGCGATTTCAAACTTATAATTAGCAATTATAAGTCCTGGTTTCCTCACGATGTTTACCTTCTCCGTATTTCAGTGGTGTCTAAATAATCATAAAAAGTACATATAACTCGGAAAAAGTCACATCGGTACTTGCCAAGTTTCGAAACCACACCCTCATGCACGAGAAGCGGGCCCCGTAACCTTCGGGCCATCGTTTTGATATTTTGCATCATACTTGTATTATGTAAGGCATTTTGATTGGTTCTCGACATCGCCATAACTCAATCTGAAGGAGGTACTAACATAGATATTGAATCGAGTGACACGTCGTGACGCCTCGACTAATTCCCTTGGTAGGTATTCAATATTGTATGCAACACAAATGAACTGTGTCTATAGGATTATTCATGAATTTCAATGAGATACTAATTGCTTTGAGTATTGATAATTTGAAAGACATTCATTGTGACAGTGTAATCTACGTGGATTTTGACTGCCTTACTAGTTGATCTGATCGTAATAAGGAATGGTTTTAGCTAAAATTTCTATGTATTATTTCTATTTTAGGTACAATTCTTGGGTGGTATGGGATTGGGCGGCAAACGAGTTTTGAGAGCCAAGCTTCGGCACGAATGGGTCAGCTCGACCGGAGTGATACCACGGCCTCACAGAAAACCGGCATGAAACAACCACAGTGTTGTGTTTCGCCATATGAGTGAGGTTACCGAAGGCCCAATCCTTGCCCTGCCCCCATCCCTCCCAAATCCTCGAACCTCCAAAACCCCTTATTCCCATAATGCTGACAACGCACTTTTAAAACCTCTGGTGTTGCCATAGGCGGTGTCGATTGCTTGCCATCAGGTAATCAGTCAGTTCTGTTGCATTACCACGTATAAAGAAAACAGTTTTTGTTTTCTGTAAGGTCATTACTATGACTCCATTCGAACCGGACAATTCGTGCCGAAGCATGGTTCTCTCACACTTCAACCATAAGGTTCACCCAATCCTTACCTTCTAGTCGTAGTAGTAGTCGGGAAAGTTAAATGAAAGAAGTTCCCGAGTACCTAATGAAATCGTTAGCTTCAAATTCCAGAAAAAGCAGCTTCTAAAAATATCTGACCGTTTCAAAAACTTATCAATTACATACACTGTTACTATTGTTTGTGCTCTGGATTCCGTTTATTTCAAAGCTCTAGTTTCGATTCACAGCATGTCACGGCTCGCATAACTCGCCATAGCTCGTGGCTACAGTCAAAGGCTAACTTTGCACTCGTATGAAATAGACGCGAAATTAAATTCTGTTCTCTGAATCGTCGGTTTTTGAAACAACGGGTTAATTGGACAGGTTTGTTAGGTATGGACTAGTTTGTGATCCAATCAAATCCACGTATGATAGCTTGGTTGAGAGATCTTTGAATTTTCTGTTTTTGGCCTCTTCTAGGAAAGTGTGTGAGCGATTTTCCGTAAAGTTTGATGTATATTTCGGTGATTTATTCTCTGTTTCCAGTTATATTATTTCTCCTAATTGTTCAAATATTTGAACTTTTCGAGCAATTCAGGCATCGCGCTTTATTTAATTTTAGTGTAAAACGCTTTAAGTGTGGGAGAGCCAAGCTTCGGCACGAATGGGTCGGCTCGACCGGAATGATACCACGGCCTCACAGAATACCGGCGTGAAACAACCCAGCGTTGTGTTTCGCCGTGTGAGTGAGGTTACCATTGGGCCAATCCCTCCCCTTCTCCTATCCCTTCCCGTTCCTTTTATCCGCAACCCCTATCCCCAAAAGGCCGGCAACGCACTTGCAACTCATTTGGTGTTGGGGGTGTCCATGGGCGGCGCGAATGTCTGACAATCGGGCAGACTGATATCGCTCATAGACACTCGCAACAACGTACGAGTACGTTGCCGTCCTTTTGGGGATTCGGGTTTTGGAGATTTAGGTGATGGGAAGGAGGACCTTCGGTAACCTCACTCACATGGTGAAACACAACGCTTTGATTGTTACACGGCGATTTTCTGCGAAGCCATAGCCATATCACCCCAGTCGAGCCGACCCATTTGTGCCGAAGCATGGCTCTCTACACTCAAATTGCTGTTAAATGCGCTGTTATTAAGTTTTCAAAATAAATTAAAAGCCATAATGATTGGGCCCAGTCTAGCATTGAACACAAATTGTCAGACTAATCCTACTTTTAGATGAGAAGTATCCACGACTTCGATGTCGTACCTGATTTGATATGCACCATTTTTTGGTCGGAAAGAATTATTCTCCTGTAATCTTGTTTCTTCATGTTGCCTAACTAAAAATAAATTTAGGATTAAACAAGCAAAAGCTAAATTACTTCTTAACATTTGAACTGAGATCAAGGCGCCTGTAATAGGCGTTATCATAAAACTTTCCATATTACCTATTCAAGAGCTCGACAGTATCTTTGTAGGGGCCTTTAAAATGTCGAAACGTACCAAGTTTCCTAATCGAAGTTCCCCTTCCTTTAATAAATTCAAAGTTTCGCTCTGAAGATCCGTGTGAGCCCCTGTAATATCTCACATATGTGTGAATAATAAATTCCTTGTACAAGTTTCTCTGAATTCTAGAAATTTCTCTCCTTGCCTGCATTAGATTGATCGGTATCTGTAATGCATTTTTGCATATGTGACTAAGTTCTGGTGTTTTTGGTTAGCGATTTTTAGTTTGTTTTTAAGTTTAGTGTTGGAAAGCTATGACTTGCTACTAATGGGCCAGCTCGACCGGAGTGATACCACGGTCTCTCAGAAGACAGGTTTCGAACAACCTCAGTGTCGTGTTTCGCCATATTAGTGAGGTTACCGAAGGCCCAACCCTTGCCCTGCTCCCATCCCTCTCCAATCTTTGAATCTTCAAAACCCCTTATTCCCATAATGCTGACAACGCTCTTGCAACACCTCTGATGTTGCCATGGGTGGTGTCGATTGCGTGCCATCAGGTAATCAGACAGTTCGTTTGCACACATATCACATAAAAAATCAACAGGCCATGATAATTCACTCCTGGAATATGGGTTTCTTCTACAGAACGTTTTATCACGCTTCCTAGGCTGGTGATGGTGAAAAGGTTCCTGTTTATCGAAGTGCTTACTGCCCAGTTTCTTTCAAATGTGTATTGAGACAAAAGAGGAGTTGTTTTTTCCTTATTAAGATGAATGTTTAAGGTTGATTTTGATTACTTTGGGTATCTTATTATCATTAATTAATCTATGTGTTTCCTTGTTTGGTTCTTATTTGTATTACTACTCCATGTAAGGAAATTGTTTTGCCTTCAATTTTATGGTACTTATTCGTAACAAAATCATCTCTTCTTTTGCGGCCAGTTAGTAACAATAATATTTTTTTCCTTTACCTTATTTTAGTGAAGTATTCGAATAAGCGATTCAAGTGTCACAGAGTGACTCGATCACTGATTTAGGGGGTTAGTATAGCCTCTCAGAAAATCGGCGTAGAACAATGCTTGCGTTGTGTTTCGCCATATTCCATCATTTAAGTGTGGGAGAGCCATGCTTCGGCACGAATGGGTCGGCTCAACCGGAGTGATACCACGGCCTCACAGAAAACCGGCGTGAAATAACCACTGCGTTGTGTTTCGCCGTGTGAGTGAGGTTACCGTAGGCCCAATCCTTCCCCTTCCCCAATCCCTCCTCAATCCCTAAATCTCCAAATCCCTAATCCCTAAAAGGTCGGCAACGCACTCGTAACTCCTCCGTTGCGAGGGTCCATGGGCGGCGCTGATTGCTTACCATCAGGTAATCCTGATGGTAAGCAATCAGCGCCGCCGCGCAGACGGATTACCGTATGCTCGTTTGCTGACCTACTACATAAAAAAAAATCCTGAACTCTTAAAAGCCTAAATCCTAAAATGCTGGCACCGCATTCGTTAGTCTTTTGGTGTTGCGGCAAATAAACGTTGCCAACTCCATCAGGATACAAGTATCCGACTGCTCGTTTGCAGCTTCACTATATAGTATCAAACAAGTCGCTTTCTCTGTCCCTATATCCTTATATACGCTTCTTCTTAAAAACAACACAACGGACTTTGATGCCGTTTTTAATAGATACAGTGATTGAAGAAATTTAATAGGTATGTAGGTATCCAGTCCATTTAGTAGTGGAAAAAAATATATTGGCATTGCACCCCTGCGAAGCCGGCTGGTGTAATTTTCTTAGTCTTATCCAGATTGATTGATTTGATTTTAGTACTTTATACAGAGATGATTCACTCAATTTATATTTGCACTAAAGTTTGACGCCCCAGGATGCATTTGATTTACTTAGGGTATCGTCTCGAGAGGTCGTTTCCCTTCCATCGCATGCATTTCCGTTTATTCCTGTACCTACCTATCTGGCCGAGTGCCTCGTTGTTCAAGTGATGGTAATTGGGCTGTCAGATTTTCAAGAGATCTCGGTCCCGGTATCCAGGATGAAAATGGTCGTCATTCTTTAAATTTGCTTTAGTAGTATTATTGAGTGTAATTTATTACGGGATACATCTGTAAAAATATTGCATTTTATTGTTTTTTGTTTCATATGATAGGGCCGCATACGAGCGGACTACCTGATGGTAAGCAATTGGTATCGCCCTCAATACCAGAGAGAAGGGTTTTCGAAATTTATGGATTAGGATTGAGAGTGCAAGGTAAAAGTACACTAATTCCTCCCTAATAGAAGTATTGTGTCTCCGGTAAGTTCACTCACACGAAGACTGTGGTTGTTTCACTTCAGTTTTCTGGAGTCCGTAGTATCAAACCTGTCGAACAGGCTCTCCAATCCTTAAGAATTTCAAAGGCACTAGTTTAACGATATAAATCTGTCCACAGGCGGTGATCAACAGTACGATAACGGCGAACATGACCTTCACGAAGACTTCCCAGAAGTTTGGTCAGTGGAGTGATGTTAGAGCCAACACTGTCTATGGACTTGGGTTTGCATCCGAACCGGAGCTTGGCAAGGTGAGTGCTAAAGCAAGTTAGAAAGACGGAAAGAACTACCAAGCTTTAAGAGTCTGTGATACAGAAGTTAGTGTGTAATAAAGCGTTTCTATCACATTGGAGAATCCTGTAATGGTGGCCTGAAGGTTAAGGCGCTGCATCTTATCTTGCATGAAGGTGCGAGTTCAGCAATCCAGTTTGGAAACCTGGCAAGTGCCGATGTGTCTTTTCTGCCGACAATAAGAAGACAGTAAAAGCTTTCTGCTTAAGTTTCCTTGTAGTAAGTTGCGGGTAAATCGCATTGAGGTACCGTAGTCCGGCTTGGTGCAGGAGACAGAATATGTATATTTTAGTCAGTAAGAGCCTGACACCCGCTCTCGCCTCACCCAGAGCGGGAGATGAACGAGATTCCCTCTCAATTGGAGACAGGGGGAGGGGGGCGGAGAAGAATCATTTAATGACTTCTTTTGCCCAGAACGGGGCGAGAGTTAGTGTCAGACTCTTAGTCCTTACTGACTAAAATCCACCCCGTTTTTTCTCCTGCTCTTCAAAAGGCAACGGTGCCCTTTTCGCTTGACCTGCAACCCTACTAAACATCAGTCCTATTGGACCGCATTTGTGGTGGGCTGTTAGCTCTTTGAGATGCACGCGGATCACAAAGCACTAAAGTACGGCCGGGTCTGTCACCTGGTCCGGGCAGTGGTACACTATTGTTGTTGACCCCCAATTGTGTATGAACATCAGTCCTATTCGACCCTATCTCTAGTGGTACATTTGCTCTTTAACACATTCAGTGCACATACGCGTCGGGGGCACTGAATGTGTTAAGGCGTGCGTTACAATAAAACTTTACTCTTTCTTGCAGTTCATAGAAAAGTTCCAAGAGGTTAAAGAAGCGATTCAAGCGCAACAATGTGGCGCTACGGGTGGCAAGTCGGTGACGAATGGTAACAGTGGCGCCGCCACGCCGGTGGCTAGTGCTACAGCCAGCCCACTGTTGGCTGGCAGAGCTACTGGTGGTGACGAGCCACCGCCCGCCGTCTCGCCTGCTCAAGCCCTGGTAAGTAATAATAAAGTTGTAAAGTAACTTATTTATATTAACGTCTTGTCTGCCGGTATACGACAAACGATAGAAAACACGTTGTGGCTCGCGTGGATCCGCGCTTCGGCGTACCAAGGGTTAATGAGTAAGGCTTAACAGATTTTTATATTTCGTTTTGTAACCCTGCTGTATTTTTTAGTAGTAGTTCGTAAGGCATTTTGCGTTGATTGAAAATAAAGTCTTACAAGAATTGACTGAGATATGCTATAATGGATTGGGCTCCGTAATGCCCACGATGCTCATAAATAAGAGTCCCGTGGTAACTACAAAATAGTAGAGCTTTGCTCAGTTAATTAACCAGATAAACGCAACCTTTTAAATAAATAAAATTAGGGTTTTTGATGAGTTTATGTTTGCATGGCTTAGCTCAAACAACTTTGATTCGATACTGTACTACCCTATCGTTAACAGTCAGATATGCCTTAGGCATTAAGTCCTTAATTCAGTATGTAAATAAATAAAGTATAATATATAAACATTACGAAGTTTATTCAATAGCTAGATTTTATAATGATTATTCGTTTACTTGTAACATGACCATTACAGATGTATTGTTTCTCCTAGATAATTTCTAAGAGCAATATTATGTTTTAAAACTCATTGCTAGGCGAGCAGAAAATTTTATTTTCAATATTATTTTAATTTGTTTACGATGCTTACTAATATAAGAGCTAAACGGCCCGGGGTTGCGGGGTAAGTGCAATGAGGCACCGCGACCTTGGCCCAGAGCAGGAGAATGAACAGGGGGCTTTTTAGTCAGTAAGAGTCTGACACTCCCTCCTGCCCGGCCCTGTGCGGAAGAAGTCTTTTTTTCCATCACCAAAAAAAAGCTAACATGATACGGATAAAGGCATCGGATGAAATTAAGTAAATTCTAGTAATGTCAGATATAGAGAAAATATTAAAAACGTATTTTCTATTCAGTTGCTGAAGAAAACAATACTTAGTTAATGATAAAGAATTACAACTTAGGAGTGGGAGCTAACTACGTCATTCGTAATATTTAAATGTACGTAGTAATGACGTCACCCGAAATCGTCTGAAGTTTTTGAAGGAAAAGAAACAATACGAGTCCCATAATGCTTTGAAAAAAAATGTTGGTATCAACTGCTTATATTTTATTTGTGGAAAATATTCTTTAGCAGGTACAGTTACAGAAGCGCTATATTAGGTACTAGCTACTCTCACGCGGCTTCACCCGCTGCTCAGCTCCATTTGATCGTAGCGTGATGTTTTATAGCCTATAGCACTCAGGAACTTTGTAGCTCTCTATCAGTGAAAGAATTTTGGCAAACCGACCAGCGGTTCCAAAGATTACCTCCTACATACAAACTTACAAGTTTACCTCTATAATATTAGTATACATAGAAAGAAATAAAGAAAGAAAGAAAAACATTTATTTTCGCGCAAGCGCACACACACAAAACAAAATACAAAAAAAAAGAAGAAAATAAAATATTACTAAAAATCTAAACTAAATGATACAAATAAAAATTAAATGACTTAAAAAAATAATAACAAAATAACAAAAAAAAAACAAAACCTTTTATCTATGGTCCACAGAGTATAACATTATGCGTGATGTCGCGTGTATTTTTTATAATCTGTGGACCACAAGGACAAGAAAGTAGCATTTGTGTTTGTAACAATCTCACAAACAACAAGAAACATATATTAATATAATTTGATAATTTCCTCCTTACTATGTGGTACGAGCGCAAAAAAAAGCGCATAGATACAGCGGGCCCACCTGGCGCCGAGTAGGAAACGGTTATGGTATTTAATCAGTAAGAGTCTAAACCTTTTTTGCGGGGGTAAAATCAGCACATGATTTCTCTTCCCCAACCCCGGCTGAACATCAGCCCTGTTGTAATGATCAGTTATATGTATTATGATAATAAATTCAGTTTTTTAATTCACTGTCTTTGTTTTAGCCCAAACCCGAACCGGAAGATATGAATGTACATCAGAGAGCGCATTCCGTGTCCTCCACTCTACAGGTGCGATAACTATTCAATGTTTCATGCTTGATTCGTTTTCAAATAAATAGTGATTGGTGGTTTTGAAGTGTGGGAGAGCCACGCTTCAGCACGAATGGGTCGGCTGGACCGGAGTGATACAAACGCCACACCAGAAAACCGGCTTTAAGCAACACTTTGTTGTGTTTCGCTTATCCTTAAATCCTCGAATAACCCATAAGAGGCCGGCAACGCATTTGTAGTGACTCCTTTGGTACTATGAGTGTCCATTGGCTGCTCTGATGCGTACCATCAGGTAATCCGTCAGATCCTTTGCCGATCTATGACAAAAAAAACTGGTCCTAAGGTGACTGAACAGTTGAATTGAACAAGAACAGTCGAAGTTGACTGGGTTTAGTATTTAGTGTTTATGTTTTGATTCCCGCGCGAAACAACTCTGTGATCTAAAAAATATTGTTTCGTGTTAGTTTTTAAGTGTGATGTGAATGTGAAAATATATGTTAAACGCACCCACGACACGTAAAATTCTAGTGGTTACGTTTTTTTAAAGGAAATAAAAGCGTTATAAAAATCAACATGCTTCGAACATCAAATAATAAGTAAACTATTTCAAAGTAATCTATATACTAGTTTAGTAGGCTTCCCCATATTTCTCCTATATTGCGAAACACTCATATATGTGCCGCGTCACTCGACGTCGCCCGTTAACTCGGGAAGTGGCAATTGCTTTAAATTGTCAATGTTATATCCTCGCCTTCAATATTGAGCGCCATGCTAGTGAATCTCGCTTGACATTGCCATTTTGATAATATGCTGTTTACAGATACAAAGTGTTATAGTGGATATTGTAGTTTTGTTTTTGATAGTTGAATGATTATCAACTTGATACGTAATCAAATTTATCCTATGTAATCGCGTAGACGTACTCGATGTTAAGCAATCGGCGCCGCATATGGAAACACGTAACATCGAAGGAGGTCCAAGTACGTGGCTGACCTTTCCGGGACCTAGGAATTTGGGAAGGATGAGTAAGGATTGGGCGTCCGGTCACCTCATTCACACGGCGAAAGTAAACGCAATGTTTGTTCCACCCTGGTTTTCTGTCAGGCCGTGGTATCACTCCAGCTGAGTCAACCCTTTTGTGCTAAAGCAGGACTCTCACACATATGTATGTAATAGGGACACTAATATTTTACTATGTCGTATAGGGAGGTGGGTACGCCACAGTAGGACGAGCGCCCCGCGGCCCCCTGGCTTCGGCCGGTGCTCCAGCCGTCATCGACCCTCCTCCCGCCGATTCCTCCGAGCAACAACTTCGGTACGAGAACGACAGACTCAAGCTTGCACTCGCACAGAGGTAAGTTGAACAGTTGCCCCACAGTAGCGCGACAGTCGCTCGAGAGTAGCGCGACAGATGGTTGATAGTGGGCCCTGTTTAGAATGGAAAGTGGCTACGCGACAGTGGGGCGAGCTCCGCGCGGTCCGCTGGCGACCGCCGGGCCGCCCGCCGTCATCGACCCGCCGCCCCCTGAGTCCATTGAGCAACAGCTGCGCTATGAAAATGACAGGTTGAAGCTGGCACTCGCGCAGAGGTGAGTCGCGCGACAGTTGCCAGATAGTGGCCCAGACAGTTGCGTAGCCACTGCTCAGAGTGTGGACCTCGTAGCAGCATTGTTTGGTTTTTGTGTTTTTCTGCGTTTTTAAAGCGGTTTCTACTCCGTTGTGGTTGCGATAGAGCTGTTTTAGGTTTCAGCTTGCTTTTTAGATTTGAAGGTGAGTTTTAATTATAATTTCTGTTTTCGTTTATTGTTTTTGTGCTTTTGCAGTGAGTTATTAGCTTCTGTATTATTTTTGTTATTAAAGTAGTAATTAATACAAGATTTTTAACAATAAAAAGTTTATTCAATCGCAAGAGTTTTGTACAACACTTATAACTACAAAACAGAACAATACAGTCGGGGCTTAACTTAGACGAAATATTTTAACATTTCGTTGTACTAATAAATAACATAGAATTCGTGACACACTCATTATAACACACTTTACCCAGGATTGTTGCCCTGTCGGCCGATAGTTGCCCGATTTTTTTAACTTTGAATTAATAGTATATCATGCTGTTGCCCATGTACATAAATATTTAAATACGACTTTATGTCGAATGTAGCAAAGAATAAATTCCATTTTCCGAGTAAACGTCTCTTAATGTTTTAGTTTTAGTATATAATATTCATTGTTTTCTTTGTTTCGATAAACCAAAGCTACTCTCATACATAACCAGAAATGTATATCAGAATACAGATGAGAAATAAAACTTAAATTATAATAACTTAACCTACAAGTATAGTTATATAATTAAAGCATTTAAAAATCGGAGTTTGAGCATTGCGAAGCTGTTGATTCAGTCCGTCTTTACTAGCACTAAAGAAACAATAGGTCCACTGAATGATAGAAAACCAAGCTTTTACTACAGGTTAATAATATTAATAGGATAATGTTCGTTGATATACTAGAACCAGCACATCAAACTATCTCAATATTCCGTAAGATTTTCAATTTTATTTCGGAAAAGTAAAGTTGAAATTCCACTGTCTCATTCGTACTTTAAGGTCATCATCGTCTGATTCCTTTCAATACTGCCGTTATCATGGTGAAGGTCGATCCAAAAATTTTTCTGGTCTGTGTACAAAAAAAATGGGTTAAAAGCCAGACATAATGAACTGGCGACCTGATAAAAGGTCATAGGGATCCGGTAGATACTGGTCCTTTCCAACTTTGTTTTGGCATCCCCATAACACTGTCTTAAAGAATATCACCGAACAAAATCCTTCATATTTATATACCTGTACCGTTATATTTATTAATGGCCAAACCCGCCGGCGACTGGGACAAATCCTTCGTCGAAATGACCATAGTCGTGTTGGTAGTGCAGAGGTTCTAAAGCCGGCTTCGCCTCGTACTCGTGCACGGGTTTGTGTTCATATTCTTCGTGCTTAGGCGTTCCTATTTTGTGCACGACCGCGTTGAAACCGTTCTTGTCGTCTGCCTCGTATTCCACTACGCGTTTCGTGCCGTCCGTCTCGATTAAGGTGTAGGTTCCTTTAAAATAAATAGTTTGATTATATTGGACGGCTTACTTATGTAACTACATTGGTGTTGTGCCACAAACGATGCGGCAAGTATCCCGCAAAACAGTTGATTACCTACTACTATGAACCCCACCATGGCTTGAAATTAGACGAGTCATCTCGAACGTTCACGTAAGCAAGCCGTTTGAGATTATTTGCTGTGGATCTCTACCGTAACTTTATACTAAATCACTAAGCAGTTTATAAGCAATTTTTAAATAATTCTGATTCTGTAAGTATTTAAAAATGTTTTATATTATACCTTTGACCTTGTCACCGTCTCTGGTCTCCCAATGTTCCTTGTTATCACCGGTGTGTGGGTCCTTCACGGAGTAGTCGAACGAATATTTCGGGTGCGCCTTTAAACAATAATAAATTGTGCTATTAATGTGAAAGAGTATTGTAAACACGTCATCATCATATCATTAGCCTATGAGTGCCCACTGCTGAACAAAGGCCTTTTATTCTCGAAGGTTCGAGCATTGATCACCACGAAGTACTGAATATTCTTTTACTACAAATACGTTATGGTAAAATTATTGTAGAGACTTGATATAACTAATATGGTTTTGATTTCGTGAGCTCTGTGATATCAAAGTCGCACTGCATTGCGTTCAATCTGCACTCGATCGGTTGACAGTAAATTGAGTCGTTATGTAAGAGGTCGTAGCCCGATTGATTGCGAATAGGGTTGTACGGTAATATGATTTACATACTTGGACAATTATCAATATTTTATTAAGTAAATATGCTCTCGAAAACGCAGATTGAATGGATATTCCTGTTCAAATGCGTTTTACCTTAATAACAGGTCTTTTTGCTTCCCACCCTGGGTGAGGTAAGAGAGAGCATCATTCTTACTGAACTGCTTGCTATATTTTGTTTGACGTTCACAAGTGACTGTCGTGGTCACTTTAAAATAAATAATTTGCTTTGACATTCTTACTTTTACTAATAACCAACTTGTTCCTTTCTTCCCCGTGTCGGAGTCGCGGTACATTATTGCGAATGCACCCTGCAACCCCGGCTGCGGATTGATAGATCTGATGTCCAAACTACCAAATAAATAAAGGCGCGCGAAGCACCTGCATCTCTTATGGTATCCATATCACTGCAGATTGCTTACGTAACCCGTTTAATAGTTATTCATCCGCTGTTCTCCAAGAATGCAACACTGAACTTTAATTTCAAAACAAAACCCGAAAACAGACTGTGTGTTCCCTTCAAAGAGTAACCATGGAGTTTCTTGCTCGTTCTTCTCCATAGGAATCTACACTTTGGAACGAGCAAATAGCTTCACTAGAGGACAGACGGACAGACTGACACATATAAAGTTAAACCTTATGATATCTTTTTTGCTTGACGTTCAAAAGTGCCTTTTTTGGTCTATTTGAAATAAAGAATTTGATTTGATTTGATCAATTCCGCGCATAAATAAAGCACCGGCCGGCATCGCACCTGTGACTCCTCTGGTGTTGCAGGTGTCTATGGGCGGTGCCGATCGCTTACCATCAGGTGATCCGTCTGCTCGTTTGCCTCCTATTCCATAAAAAAGCACCATTTGAAATTCTGCATACTAACATGGTAATCCATATCATATTCTTCCCCGTGGTGGTCATCCAAGCTCTGTTGATGGTGCAGCTGTATGGGCGCTTTGTGGTACCCCTCGTACCCTCCAAACTCCTCGCCATACTGCGCAACCACTGTCGCTACGATCAGGAACAGGGGGAGTGCTCTCTGAAATGAAAAGAGGTTTTAATAAAAAGAACAAGCAACTACTACAAATTTACAGAAGGGAAATGTATTAGATTCGGATGTGATGAAAAATGTTGGTGCCAATGTTGTTAGTTCTTTTTCGAGGTAATAATGATACTTTTATCTTAAGCCTAGCGCTAATCTCCGGAACTACTGCTTAGAATTTTTAAACTCTTATAGTTGGATAGTCTTTTTATCGAGGAAGCCAAACATCAGGCTATGAATAATGAAGGAATCGAGTGGCGGTTAAACCCAACCAGGTTACTCCCCCGGTTGGGTTTTAGTCAGTAGTTACTTTGAGCCAGCCTTTAAAATAGTTACGAAAAAGACGTGATTACAATCCGTCTAATCGATTTCTGATCTATGCCTTAAAACTAATGTAATAAAAACTACAATACATACAGAATAGCTTCATCGAAATGTTGTACTAAGCAATTCACGTTATTAGGGATTTGAGGATCGGGAGGGGAAGACGGAGACCGAATCCGATCGATCTTCAAATCCATACAAAAGGTTGGCAAAGCTCTCGTATCTCCTCCTTCGTAACGGGTGACCATGGGCGACGCTGATTGCTTACCATCAGATAATCCGTTTGCTCGTTGGCCAACCTATCACATAAATAAAAAAGCATGGGTCTCCCACACTTAAAATATTAAATATGATCAATTATAATTTCCCTAACAACTATTTGCATCGTTGCACAGTTTCTACGTATTAAGAGTGCGCAGTGAAACGTCGCGAAAGTATGGTTATCTCCTCAGAACACATTCTGACAGCGCTGAGCTGGGTACTCCGGAATAAATTGGAAGTGACGTGGAAATCTTCACAACAGACGTACTGGCTTTGTGCTGTTTGCTACTGTTGTTGTTTAAATATGATTGTTACGCGGGCTACATTTGAAGTGAAATAAGTTTTAAGGCCCTCGTTCTAAGGATTAGTTTTGGCTGAGTTTAGGTGATTCCTCGTAGTGTTCTGCGTCCAAAATTTGGTTTAGGAGACGAATAATGTGTCTGCAGTGGTTTTTCGTTTCAATATTCACAATTAATAGTTGTTGCAGAAAAATGAGCTTTAATACATAGGTTACTTATAATAAAAGTGTATTAGTAATTCAATACAAGACCAAACAAAGCCTAGACACACAGCAACAAATCGTAATATATTATTGGATCCACAAAACCAGAAAAATCTGCGCTGACAAGATTGAATTCACATCGCGACTTCAATAATAAGATCACCTTACCACACAAACAACAATATTCGTCCAATACCATTATAAGATGTTTTTCCAAGGAACAAAATCGATTTCAAGTTATTCCAGTATGATATCCCAATAATCTGTTACAATTTTGTTAAGCTGAAACAATAACTCGATAATCTTCGAGCTTCTTGTCTTAAAGCGAAACGCATTATTTTAATTTAGCGTTAAAATTATTGCGCAAACAATCCGCTTATTGAACCAGTATTGGTACCGCGGTCGCTTGATCATGGTGGTTGGTTTATAAAAGGAATGTATTTTTAGGCGTTTGGTGATATAGACAATTTTATGACAAATATTTTGTTAAATGTGACTTGATATTTCTATATAATACTTTAAGCAAACAGTGAACGATTCCAGAATATTCTGTTGTAAATTCTAAATTAAGTTGTAATTGGAAGTTTCGAATGATCGGTCACCGTCCCAAAGGTATATTAATGGAATGATCAGTTCAGGGAGATTCTTAACTACTTCGGGAAACTATCAAAACTTGAAATTAATTGCGTGTATCATATCGAAATACCCTTTGGCCAAAATACCGTCAAGTATCTATCTTAATAAGAACGGCGAAAGTATGGATTCATCCTGTTTCAAGCAAGAGAAAAGAGTTCATGACAGGATAACGTCTGATAAGAGAAAATGACATTATGCCGCTCCAATAGGGGTTGGGTTGCTGTTTTTATTTATTTATTTTTTTATTTATTTTATTTATTTATTTAAGTCAGGCATGTGAGGCCCATAGAGAATACACTACATAAATAAATTATAACATTAAATCATAAACTAATACATATGTTACATAAAAAAAAAACTTAAAAACTAAACTTTTTATGCTCTCTAGATAGCACTGGTGTGGACCTCACCGTTTTCCCTCTAATTGAGTATTAGCTTCATAGTGTCAGATCATTAACAGCCACATTGATTGCATGAGCAGTCTTCTTGCTGGAGGTCAGTTAAACAATTGGTATTGGCCCTCCTTGATTTGCGATAAAGGCGGGAAGCCGTTTCACCAAGCTCCTTCAGTTTCCTACAGTGACTGTTGAGCATTCAGGCGGGTTTGCGAGTCAAGCGCAAGCTCCTGCTTGCTTGAAGGAGCCAGTGGTTTTTAGTCAGTAAAAGTCTGACACTCTCTCAAAAATATCAACTAATTTAAGTTTCCTTTTAATTAATACGACCTTCCCCTTTAAATTCAACTTCAGACGCTTACCTCTGTACGCTTACCGTCCTCGAGAGGTCTAGTTAATATGTCAGCCTTGCAAAATACGTTGTATTATATCTATACTAATCTAGTTTGGGAGTTTGTCTATATCTGTTTTGAAACAATAAACTCTACTCGCTGCGAGTTCAAAATAGTTTTAACACTGGGTAACTTATTGTTTGATCTGGACTGTTAGTCTTAATTATTATTGTTAGTTGAAAGACTTCTGGCTGTTGATGAAGTTGGACCGAATTTATTTGATTTTAACCTTTAAGCGTGGTAATTCGATACACAATAGAAGAACAATATGTGTGCGAACGCCGGCGTTCACTTGGGCTTTGATTAATTAATGTACACTTTCTCTCTCTTTGCCTTTTTAGTTCATTGATATGAGTGTACTTATTAAAATATTGACTAGACCTCGTAAACTACAGATTGGATATTTTATTGGGAATGAAATCCGATCTATTACGTTTTCCTAAAAAAAGGTCAGTTCAGTATGTTGAAACATAAAATAACAACATTATAAAAGGAACAGATTTCTTAGAAATTTCTCCTGTGTCGTGGGTGCGTTTACTAACATACAATTTTACATTCACGTCACATCCAGACCCGGAACCACAATTGCGGGAATCGAACCCGCTTCACGTTGCGTAGCAGCCAATTGCTCAGCCACCGCGACCAATTTTTACGGTCTATGGTATATAATACGGTGCGGTACGTGCGGTAATAGATATAAATCGAACATTGTTGTCCGATTTTGTTCCTATTAATTGAAATCTAGATGAAGCAATTCTCCTTATCCTGTATACGGTGACGTGGTAATTGATCCGGTCTTTAAAGTTATTTAGAGTGACAGATAATACCTCATGTGCTGAGATCTGGCTAAATAATTGCCAAGTTGCGCACATAATTATAGAGCAAGCCACATGAAAGTTAAAAGATGAAAGCGCACGAGGTTGGACGCAAATAGATCTTAATGTCCAAGGTAGGTTGCTTTGGTTCGGTGTGGGACACACATTAGCAAATATATGTTGGGATCAAACAACACGCACAAAAACAAAATATGAAAATCAAAGAAGCTCCGATTCCGATTTGTCTTATCGGAGTACGAGACCAGTTTGATCCTAAAAATGTTAGTAAAAATAAATAGAGACATCTCTTGCCATAACCACAAGATATAGGAAAGTCGTGTTAGACTATTTATGACTCAAAAAACGGCTGAACCGTTTTAGCTATAAACTTGTTGACAGGTAGCTTAAGACTTGGAAGATGGACATAGGACATATTTTGGTTCCCCCTACAATGGGCGGTGAAAGTTTGTGTGTATGAATTTTACCGTAGTTTTCAAGGAAGAAACTAAAAAAAAATGGTAAGCGGTTGTTTGTGGATCCTCTGTAAACCCCTTCAAAAATGTTGTTTGGGCTTTTTCGCAATTTTCAACCGTGCAACCGAACCGTGAAACGGGTTACCCCGAATTTAAACTTGAGCGAAGCCTCGGGTAAAAGCTAGTATCCTATAAATGTATCAATATAAAAGGTTTTACGATGGTTACGCATCAGTTAATCCATCACCTACAAACGGTTGAACAGATTTTCATAAAAGAGGTCGTAGCTCGTACTATCCACTCATACGGTTCGTGTCCCAAAATAAAATATGAATGGCTTACCGAGATTCATACAAAGGCAACCAAACACTAGGGCTTAGCCTTGAATAAATATTCGGACATGTTCTAATTTTGTTACCCTTTCCACTTACTTATATTGTTTAATAAAATATCGTTTCTTGTACGTCATTCTAGATTATGATACGGCTAACTTTTTCTTTTACAGGAGAATAACTATTATTTTGGGCAAGTGCATAAACACAAGCAATTTTTTGTCATTATTTGAAATATTTGTCTAGGTTATACGGTCGAAAAGTATCCAATGTGTTATTCCACTGTATAATCTATCTCTATGCCAATGTTCATCAAAATCTTGTCAGTAGTTTATGCGTGTTTGAGTAACAAACATCAGACATTTCATACACGCAATCTTCGCGTTTATAATATTAGTAGGATTAATAATTAGTACACTCTGAAAATACTAAAATTGCATTGCGCTAAAGCAACTTGTTTGGAGCAATATTATAAGCTCATGCATACAACTGACTTCATCATGTTTTAAATATTGCTTTTAGTCTCCGCAACTAATATTTTAAGCTTAACAAGAAAGCACACTAGTCACCCAACTCCAATTAATCCTTTCTCTACAACGTGCAATATTTTATTTAACAATCTTTTTAAATCGCTAAGCAATAAGTTGCGTCCTCATTTTTCCCTTTTCCACTTGGTTGCGGCGCTGAGAAGTGTAATTTCCTATCACAGAATTATCTGAAGAACATTTTAATCAATACCGGCCCTTGCAGTCTTGTCTTAGATGTTCGTTGGTTATATTAAACGTCGACCCAGTTGCTTTATTCGGTCTATTCGCAGCGAAACAGTTGTCTAACTTATTTGTGATGTTGGCTGTGTTCATTGGCTTTTGT